GCGATGGCGATCCACATTGCATTTTCTTGTGCTGGAATCTAGCGCATACTTGTTGTAGCCGGTGATCGATGCTCCAGGCCATGGCATTCCGGTGGCGGCAGCCAAGAGCCAAGAGCCACAGCCGATCCGCTGGCTCGGCTTGTTCCACGTGCCTTCATGTTCACAAAGCGAAGCGGCACCCTTCTTCAGATTCGGAAGACGCTTCCACTGGAAGAAGAAGTTCCTTAGGCTGCTCAGCTCGAGACATGCCAAGGAGTTCCTTGTCATGCTTCTGTAGCATCACCTGGCCACCCGACACTCCTGCCGGCCACTTGATGTCAACCTTGTTCATGAAATACGGGCATCGCCCAACCCCCTCCACAGCAGCCCAGTCGAAGTCAATGAATTTGACCTCCACTTGCCTGCTGGGATAACTGACCCTCACCATCATGTTCACGTCTCTAATGTCTTCATGCACCCCAATGTCACCTGAGGGCGTGATTGGGATTCCGTGTGCTTTGTCTAGCATCTTGAGCTCCTCGGCCCACAACTCTTGTGCCTGCTGGTGCCCATGAAGCAGATGCTAGTCCTCCCCTAGGTACTCTATCTTCACTTGCAAGATAGATAGACCAGCATCCTCCAGGAAGCTGGTCAATGTTGTACAGCTGAGGAGCCAGCCTAACCTCTTCAACTGCCCAAGCCCTATGCATAGCTTCCCTGTAAGAACCTTGAGTGTGCTTGATGACCATGTCCTGGATGAGAAAAACCAATGTTTTTACACTTTTCCAATGGCTGATCTGTTTATTATTTTGCTCAAAATCCATTTTATTTTTGTAAATTAATACAAACTCCATAACAAATAACAAGTTAAATCTATAAGCAATAATTAAAGGCCATTATTCATCCATGCTTGTAGAGTTTGCAAGTTATGTAGTTGAACTTTATGCTGGAATAGGTGGTACTTCTGGAGAAAAGATTTACCATAGACCAATCTATCCTTCTAAGCTTATTTTGGTGGCATATTATAATTTTGCATGTAATCTGGTTTTGAGATTGAGTCTTTGTAGTAGTCGTACAAGCCAGCTAGCCAATATAACAATAGTTCTTCCCCTTTGATCATCACTTCCCATGCTCCAATGTATATAAAACAACTTCACAGAGTGTGGTTGCTAAAGATTTTGAGCTTCACCAATCGTGTTTTGGAGTGTTCATTTCCAGGAGCTGAATGCAATGGTACCACAGGTGGCATTTACCAGATCTTTATTGATAAGGCATGGTCTCATAAGATGCAGATATCATCGTCATGAAACAGCAAAATCAAACCCATTCCTAGGACTTACCCTAAGGATTGTTGCCCTAAAGTCTTTTAATGGGCTTAAGAATATTCTAAGGATGAAGATAAAGGCTGTAATTTTTAAAACTATAAATCGAATATGCCAATATCCTTATCCGCATCCACCAAATATCGGACGGTCACGTGACGGTGACGTATTTTCAGACCTTCAACAGCCCGTCAACCCGTCAACCAGGTTGGGTTTGTGTGATATTAAACACAGATTAGTGCTAATTGCCATACATTTTGGAGCAACAGAGGAGCTAGGTTGAGAGACGAGAGCTTTCGCTGTTAGAGAGGAGCCTTGGGAGCGCGCGATGGGAGCGGTCGATGGAATCCAGGGTATTCGTCGCGGCTACAAGGTTTCGCTGCCGCCAGCGCTCGAGGTATGCCTTTTCCTGGCGAAATCGGGCGTTTCCGGGATTGCATTCGCCGGATTCTTGATCTTTCGTGTTCTTGGGAGCATCTAGTGATGCGCATTGCTGCCGCATGTAGATTTCGTCGGGAACTGCGTGAATCTGGGAAGATTTTTCTCCTGTCCTTGTCTTGGTGCTTTTGCCTGCGAGAAATTTCTTTTTCTTCTTTTAATTCGCGGCCTTTCCGGAAAAAACTTGGATGATTGATCTGCAGGCTCCCAACGTCCAGCTTGTCTGTGGAGATGCCACCACTGCCATGGATGCGTCAGACGCGCTGGCTATCCAGAGATCGTTCTCGCTCACTTATGGGCAACCTCTAGTGCATTTGCTTCCAGGCAAGAAATCCACTGGCGAGAAGAAGCTATCGCCACTAAGGTCTGTGGTTTTTTTTTTTTTTCTTGTTTTGTTTCAAGGATGAGCTGTGTGATGCTTTTGCTGGCAGGGTGGGAGTCGTCTTTTGCGGACGGCAATCCCCAGGAGGACATAACATTGTTGCTGGCCTCTTTGATGCATTGAAGGCTCACAACCCAGACAACGTCCTGATTGGAATCGTTGGTATGGATGTCCAGAGTTTTTTTTTATCATGTCCTTGTCCTCAAGCTTGAATTTAGGTGGCACTGATGGACTCTTCGCCCAAAAGTCTGTGGAGATCACTGCGGATGTGCTTGCTGTTTATCGTAACCAAGGTAGAAACATTTTCGATACAAGCAAGGGAGTTTGAAAGGTTTTCTTCTTTTTGTTCAGGTGGCTACGACCTTCTTGGGCGGACCAAGGATCAGATCAAGTCTGTGCAGCAGGTGGATGATGCAAGGGCAGCTTGCGAAGCTATGAAGCTGGACGGCATCGTTTTGATTGGAGGTAAGTTTTGCAACGTCGAACGGATGATTGTGGGAGCTAATAACACGAGATTGTTGGCTGCAGGTTGTGGAACGAGCACGGATGCTGCTCATCTCGCTGAAAACTTTGCTGCAACGGAGTGTCGCACAAAGGTGGCAACGTAAAACATAATAATGTAGTGCGGCTAGATCCTTGCTTCGCAGGTTATCGCGGTGCCTGCCACTATCGATGGAGACTTGAAAAATCCGTTTGTTGAGACGGATGTGGGTTTTGACACTGTTTGCAAGGTGCAGCAGATCTTGCGGAGACTTCTTGCTTGCATTTCTAATATGTTTTGGTGCAGGTCAACTCTCAGCTCATCAGCAACATAAGCACTGATGCGCTATCGGCAGAGAAGGTTGTTTTCCTTGCAACTGCAATCACGGTTTACTTACTCGCGATGTTTTCAGTATTACTACTTCATCAGGCTAATGGGACGGCGAGCATCTCACGTATCACTGGAATGTGCGTTGCAGTCGCATCCGAATATGGTATGTCTGTGTTTTGGACGAAATATTGGATCTGATTCAGCTCTTTTGCAGGTGATTCTAGGAGAGGAAGTTGCCACGTCTAAAATGACTCTTTTCGACGTTACAAAGCAAATTTGTGATGCTATTCAAGCCCGAGCAGAGCATGGTCAGTTTTCGCTGAAAGGTTTTATTGCTATTTGGTCAATTTACGAGGTGTTTTTTTTCCAGAAAAGTACCATGGAGTCATCCTTCTGCCAGAGGGTCTCATTGAGAGTATCCCTGAAGTATATGCGCTCTTGCAGGTAGATGGTGTACAGCATTGGAGCAATGATTTGAGTTGCGATGTTTTTTTATGATTAGGAAATCCATGGCCTTCAAAAGCAGAATATTGAGGTCGAGCACATTCCAACTCGTCTCTCTCCCTGGGCGTCCGCACTTTTCGAGTTTCTGCCACCATTCATCAAAAAGCAGGTCAAACAACAGTTTTCTCTCCTTTTTTCCTTTTCTCTCTTGTCTGATATGAACCTCTTTTTTTTTTGCAGTTTCTTTTGGACAGGGAATCCGACGATTCTGTCCAGCTCTCGCAGGTGTGCACCACTTTGTGTTTTGCAATATCTAAAAGCTAACAAAATATAGCTATTCTATTTTGCAGATAGAAACGGAAAAACTGTTGTGTCAGCTTGTTGAGACAGAGATGACAAGGAGAACGGTATTGTAGTGCTAAGTTTGACACGCACACTCACTCAATACATTCTTCATGATCACAGAAAGCTGGCAGTTACAAAGGAAAGAAGTTCAACGGTATCTGCCATTTTTTCGGATACCAAGCTCGAGGATCGTTGCCTTCCAATTTTGATTGCACCTACGCAAACGTAAGCTCTTTGTGTGCTTTCTGTATGAAGAGCTTCACACTCTGTTTCTGCAGGCTCTTGGACACATAGCATTTCACTTGGCAAGCGCCGGACTGAATGGCTATATGGCGACGGTGACGAACTTGAAGGAATCTGTCGACCAATGGAGGTGTGGCGGAGCACCAATCACTGTAAGTCTAGACTGAACGATAATTCTCGCGTAACAAGCACGGTTTTTCCTACGCAGGCGATGATGTCTGTCAAGCGGTGGCAAAGGGGCCCGGGAGTCTCACAGATAGGAAAGCCGGCTGTGCACTCAGCTAGAGTGGACCTTAAGGGAAAGCCATACGAGTAAGTGTTTTTAGAAGATCTTCATTTGCAAGATTGTTTCTCAAAATCTCCTCGCAGGTTACTGTCGCAAAACGCGTCAGCGCTCCTCATGGATGATCTATACCGGAATCCGGGACCGCTCCAGTTTGACGGACCTGGAGCCGATCTAAAGACCATCACTCTGTCCGTGGAGGATCGAGACTACATTGGCAGGATCCAGGAGCTCCGGAGCTACCTTGACAAGGTACGTCCATTCTTTAAAGTTTCTAGTCTATAAGATACCATGCTTCGGATCATCCAAACAGGTGAAAGATATCATCAAGCCTGGTTGCCCGGAGGAGATCCTCAAGGCCGCATTGAGCTCCATGGCATCAGTGACGGAAGTTCTATCCGTGATGTCCTCGCCGGGCTATCGCAACCTGACACCATTTTAAAGAAGAATTCGTTCTTGGAGGACTGCTTAAGCTTAAGTGAGATGATAATCCACCATATAAAACATCACATTCTTAAGGGCTGGAGGGGATCGAACTTGGGACCCTCCACGCCCAGTGACAGTCAGTGAAAAATAATATATTTTTTTTCCACCCATGGTTAAAGTTTCTCTATTCGGCTGGTGTAAATGCTTGTTCGCGATGGAGGGAGAGTCTTTGGCCCATTAACTTCGCCTGTAGAGCTTTTAAAGGCACAGCTTCCGTATGGTTCTGCCGTACGCGGTCTGGGCCATGGCTCATTCCGTGCAGCTCTCCTCAGTTTGGCTATGGCGGGTATATCGTGTTTTGCCCACATTTTGGTCCGGAGCGCGTCCTCTGGCGAGAAAGAGAGGAGCGATAGGGAGGAAGAAAGAGGGACTAGGGATTGAGAGAGAACTCCTCGCCTCACAGCGGCTATGGCGGTCGACGACGCGTCTCCGCGAATCGCAAGCGCTGCGGCAACAATGCGGCAGCGGCGGCCGTGAGGTAGGCGGGCACACACACGAAATCCAGCAAGAAGATGCGAGATTTCGCGCAGCAAGCTCGTGATTACGCTCGCCAGGATGGAGGTCCGACGATAATCCTTGGAAACGGCCGGGATCTTGAGCGCTGGTGTGGAGTAGCAGTGATTTGGATGCTCGAGAGCTGTTCTTGGACGGCATGAGCTGCCGCATTGCCGCGTCCACTGGTGTCGGGACGTGAGGAGGCCGGCCGCGCGAGAGGTGAATGCAGATCCCTAGCGAGCTCCAATCGCGCGTCTTTGCCGAGATTTGGATCCATGAAGGTCGTCCCAGCCTCCGCCATGCACCGCGGCATCCATTCTATGCAGGTAGAGTGTTTTGTTCTTGGTACCTCTTGGGTTTAGAGTTTCTTTGGTAGTTCTTGAGTTATTCGTGACGAATTCTTTGGTAGTTCTCGTGACGAATTCTTTCTTTTGTCACAGGCTGAGAGCGCGCTGTGCTACTGCGGCGTGGACGCTGGCCTCACCGTCACCAACGCCCGGCGATTCGTGCCGGGGACGCGGCACTGCATCCAGCCCGACGTCAAGCCGACAATTGTGATCCCAAAGGCGAGGACGAGGCACTCGAGGGGCGACCGGACCAAGATCCCGTGCCAGCTTATCCCGGGCCTCCCAGACGACCTCGCCATCGCATGCCTGGTAAGAGTTCCTCGCATCCATCACAGGACTCTCCGGGTGGTTTGCAAGAGGTGGTACAGGCTCCTCGCCGGCAACTTCTTCTACTCGCAGCGCAAGGCCCTGGGGATGGCCGAGGAGTGGATCTACGTGATCAAACGCGACAGGGACGGGCACATCTCCTGGCACGCATTCGATCCTCGCTACCAGCAGTGGCAGCCACTCCCGCCGGTCCCTCTCGAGTACTGCGAGGCGCTGGGCTTCGGCTGCGCGGTGCTCAGCGGCTGCCACCTTTACCTCTTCGGAGGCAAAGACCCGGCAAAAGGCTCCATGAGGAGAGTCGTCTACTACAGCGCCCGGACCAACAAGTGGCACCGAGCCCCGGACATGAACCGCCGCCGCCACTTCTTCGGCTGCTGCGTGATCAACAACTGCCTCTACGTCGCGGGTGGCGAGTGCGAGGGCGTGCAGCGATCGCTGCGCTCGGCCGAGGTCTACGACCCGAACAAGAACAGGTGGTCATACATTGCGGACATGAGCACGGCGATGGTTCCGTTCATCGGGGTGGTGTACCACGGCCGGTGGTTTCTCAAGGGGCTGGGCTCGCACAGGCAGGTGATGAGCGAGGTCTACGTCCCGGCCACGGACAACTGGTCGCCGGTGCTCGACGGGATGGTGTCCGGGTGGAGGAACCCGAGCGCCATCTTCAACGGGCAGCTCTACGCGCTCGACTGCCCCGATGGTTGCAAGCTCCGGGTTTACGACGGCGCCGCTGATTCCTGGCACCGCTCCGTGGACAGCCGGACTCACCTGGGGAACTCGCGGGCGCTGGAGGCGGCGGCGCTGCTGCCGCTGGGGGGGCGGCTGTGCATCATCCGCAACAACATGAGCATCACCATGGTGGACGTGGCCAACTCCGAGGACGCGGCGCGGCGCGGCGCGCTCTGGGACACCATCGCCGGCAAGGGGCTGTTCAAGACGTTCGTCACCAACTTGTGGTCCAACATCGCGGGGAGGAACCGTCTCAAGAGCCACATTGTCCATTGCCAGGTTCTTCAAGCGTGACTAAACCCTTATATGCTCGAGCATATTCCTTTGCGAGATATGCTCGAGCATATGCTTAAGCATATTTGTTTTTTGCCTGGATATTCTAAGTATATGCGTGAGTATATTCCTAGCGATGGAGCATATTCTTTTAGGGCATTGTGATGCTCGGATATTCCTGTGGTTTGAACTTTTGCTACTTAATGGCGCTGCACATGAAATGAACGAACGACTGCTGATAATTGCGCCACTGACCTTGCGATTCTTTTCTTCCAACAGTCTAGTCCTTTCTCTTTCTTTCTTCTTCGTGTCCACCACCTCCACTTTCAACTCGTGACCTTGGCAGCTCGCCGAGTTACAAGTCTTCTCGCCTTTGCAAGCGTAATGCCATGCCGTCCTCTTCCTCGGCACTCTTGGATCGTTCGTTGTTCATAAACTTGCGGCCTGCCATCCACAACCAAACGAACGAAATCACATCACTGTGGCTTGAAACACTGATAAATGAATGAGAGCGAGCGAACGAACTCCACGACACCGACCTCATAACACCGAACAGTTAGAAGTTGGTGAAGCCGAGCTTGCTGCCGAACTACGTGTTGATGAGCGTTGCTTGTAAGTTGTAGTTCTACTCTTCGGGGTCTGCGGAGTAAATGCTCGACAGCACAACGTGAGCCGAGGAGCTCCTGGGATCCATCTCCATAATCCCCTCTGCCGCTCGCCTCCCGCGCTGTACATCGCCGTGGCTCTTGCAAGAGCTCAGCAGCGAAGTGAGCGTCTCGATCGCTGGTCGGGTGCCGAGCGACTGTATAAACTCCTCGGCCTCTTGCAGCTTCCCTGCTCGTCCCAGGAGATCTATGACGCAAGCGTAGTTGTCCTGCGTTGGCTCGAGGCCCAGCTCGACCATGCTCGCGTACGCGTAGACGCCTTCGTCGAGCAAGCCGCCGTGGCTACAGACGCTCAAGATGCAGACGAAGGTGACGGGGTCGGGAGCTACGCCTTCCTGTTGCATCCGGTGGAAAAGTTCCACGGCGTCTCTGGTCTGGCTGTGCTGAGCATACCCCGAGATGATGGCGTTCCAGCAGATGGTGTCCTGCCGACGGGACGTCTCGAAGACCTCTCTCGCACAATCCAGGCTGCCGCACTTTCCATACATGGTGACGAGCGAATTCGTGACGGTGGCAGCCTCGGTGTCGAATCTTCTCTCTCTCACGTATGAGTGGATTCGTTTGCCTTCTCGGAGGTCGGCGAGGTTGGAGCACGCACTTAGAGTCGATGCAAACGTTGCCGGGGACATGTCTAGTCCTTGCTGCTGCATGAACCGCAAGTGCTGGAGTCCTTCCCTGTCTTGCCCGTGCTGGACGAATGCCGCAATCATTGCCGACCAAGTTACGTGATTCTTCCGAACTTCTGTGTCGTCGAAGCATGCCTTTGCGTCTCGGATCGAGCCACACCTTCCGTACATGGCAACCAAGGCACTCCCCAGCGACACGTCGATGTCGTTCCCGCTCTGGACAGCGCAGGAGTGGACCAGCCTCCCTTTGTCCAGGGCCTCCGCACCGACACACGCATCCAGCGCCTCAAGAAAGGTGATGCACGTCGGCTTCACCCCGCTGAGATGGATGGCGTGGAAGAGGAGCAGCGCCATGTCTTGCCTGTTCTGCCGCGAGTAGGCCGTGAGCATTGCTGTCCAGCTGATGACATTACGCTGGAGGATCCCGTCGAAGACCATCTCCGCTTGTTCCACTTCTCCACACCTGCCGTACATGTTTAGGAGTGAGTTCCACAGGATTAAGTCCGCCTCGCACCTGCCTTCCGCTATCCAGCCGTGTACCTTTCTTCCCAGCTTGAGATCGGCCGAGCCGGTGCATACGTTTAGAAGACCAACACACGTAACGTTGTCCGGCTTTACACCATCGAGCTGCATGTACTCCGTGATCTGCACTGCTTTCCTTCCCAGACCGTGCTTGGCATACGCTGTCACCATGACGTTCCAGGAGATCACGTTGCGCTGCGGCATTTTCTCGAACAGCCAGCGTGTATCTTCCAGGCTCTCGCACTTGGAGTACATCGCCACAAGCGCTGTCCCCAGCGCGATGTTGATGGACACTCCGCTCTCTACAATATGAGAATGGACGAGTTTAACCTCCGTTAGAGCTTCTGGTCCATTGGACATCGTAAGGAGCGCAACAAAGGTTACCTTGTCCGGCTTACAGCCCTCTTGTAGCATAAGCTGGTAGAGCAGCACAGCCTCCTCGACATGCCCGTGCTGGCCATACTCCGTAATGAGAGCGTTCCAGGCGATTATATCTCGCTCCACCATGCTGGAAAAGATGGCGCGCGCGTCCTCCAGCCGTCCGCATCTTCCATACATCGTGATCAGCGCATTGCAAAGAGGAGTTTCCATAGCACTAGAACTCTCCACGCTACGCATGTGTAAGATTATGCCCACCTCTAGAAACTCCGGTTTGGAGCAAGCCTGGACGAGCGTCACGTACGTCACGAAGTTGGACTTAAACCCCTCGAGCTCCATCAGCCGGAACACCTTGAAAGCTTGCTCGAGACTGGTCACGGCATGAGCCCCGATCATCGCAGTCCAGGTGATGACATTCCGGGCCGGCATCGCATCGAAAACTCTCTTGGCATCGTCGACGCTCCCGCAGCTCCCATACATGCTGACAAGAGCATTTTCCAGGATTAAGTCACACTGGTGTCCACTCTGAGCGATCAAGCCGTGAATGAGCTTACCGGCGGGGAGAGCTTGCGAGGTCTCACAGGACGTGAGCGCCGCGAGCAGCGTGATGTTGTCTGGTTTCACACCCTCCAGCAGCATTTGCCTGAGCAAGATAATCGCAAGTGAGTGACAGTGGTGCTGAGCACATACCCCGATGATCGCAGTCCATGTGTAAACGTTCTTGTAGCTCATGCGCTCGAAAGTTTCCCATGCATCGTCCAGGCTGTGGCATTTTCCGTAGGTGTGGATGAGATGGTTGCCGAGGAAGACGCGGTTGTCCAGCGACGCTCTCACGATCTGTGAGTGGAGGCGTCGAGCAACGTCCAAAGCTTTGACCTTGGGACATGCCTGGAGGAGACGCACGTACTCGACGTCCGCGACGTATCTCTTCTTCTGCTCGATTTCCAGCTGCTCTACAAGCTCCTCCAATCGAGCCCTGCTCGTAATCGCGCTTTGTTGCTGGGAGTGGAGATTCTCAATCTCGTCTTGGTTGATTCTAGCCTCGTTCTTGGAAATATCTTGATCTGACAGAGAAATATGAGAATGCGAGGAAGATAGCGATCCAAGTCGGAGAACAGGAGGAGGTTCTTGAGCTCCAGCCAATGTAGAGCAATCGCGCGCGTACTTGGAAGCGGCTGGAGAACAAATCAGCAATGCGGGATGATATTTTGGTACTGCGATCGCTTACCTCGAAGATTTCTTCGCGATCGCCACGCGATTTGGCGGAACAACATCACCGCGATCCATAAACCCTAGCCCCTGGAAAATTAGGGTTCTTAGGCATAATGGCGGAAGAATGGATTCAAAGACGGCGAGAGACGAGGTTCGTTCGATCGATCGCTTGCTGCATTGCATGTATTACCATAGATTCTCGACCTTCTGGTGGCGCTGTGGCGCGGCGTCTTTCTTGATCAGGAAATCGCGCCATTTTTCCCTCAGACAGATTTGCTTAGAATTTTAGTGATCGCTTCATTGCTCGAACCGAATTGGTTCTCCATTCTTTCTTTCAGCTTAGATTGATGCTTGATTGCTCCTCTTTCTTTCTCGATCGAGAAAACACGCACATTTTTCTCTCTTCCTTTTCTGCCAAACTCGAAACTTTTTCTGTGTGTGTGTGTGCACTTTTGACAAAGTATGGACAAGATTTGCAATCCAAGCCGATCGGCTGTCTCCATCGCAAATTAATTGTCTCTAGTGTCCCACTTGGCCTGTAGGATCACTTGATTTGCTTGCCTACCTTCTTCTTTCTCATGAACAAGAATAATCTTGCAGAGAACTAATCTTCTCTGTTTCTGTTCTTCTTTTGTTTTCTCTTCTGATTTTGTCCTATCTTTTTTGTTCTTCAGGAAGCGAAAATTTCTCCTGATGTTTCCGGCTGCTGCTGCTGCTGCTGCTTGACTGTGGTGTACTGAATTCGAGTCCATCCAAGAATTCTTCTTCGCTGGCTGCTGGCATGATGCTAGCTCCATAAAAACGATCCGAACCTCTGTGGCTCCTGTACAAGCGACTGGAAGTCTATATGATAGAGTAAGCTCTCCTTTTCGCTTTTCTTTTCTTCTTTGCCTCTATAAGCTCATCCTGTTTTTCTTCGCAGCTAATGGCTGTGCGGTGGATGAGTTCTAACCTTTGCGTAGTCGGCATGAAAAGTCATCTCCTCGCTACCGACGGAGTCGTCATCGTTGTCGCCACCATGATCCTCCTGACGTCCGCTAGTACTTGCTTTGGCGTCTACTTCATGAATAGGAGGAGCGACCGGAGGTGCGGCATTTGCATTGAGAGCTTTATGATTTTTATGAGGGTGATGGTGATGGTGGTGATGTTTTTGTTGATCCAGGTGGATTGAACTTGATGCTCCTCGCGGCATCTTGGCCTTGAATTGTTCTAGCTGCCGGTCGTTGGAGTCTAGTGCTACAACCTGCATAGGAGCGCCTTTAGCATCTATTATGACTCGGAGAAGCCTGGGAAGAGCGGAATTGAGGAGCTACCTCGTCATGAGATGGTGGTGATGGTGTTCTCGCACTCGTGCTCATGGAAAACCGAGCCACCTTTGGGAGCGAACCTTCGCCCTTTGGTGGAGAATCTGCACAGGGAATTTCGTCCGTCTTTTGTTCTCTTTTTGTCTTAAAACCAGTGATTGCTTTACCTCTGCTTTCCAGGATCCGAGCGCAGCAACTTGGATGCAGCATGTTGATCAACGCGACGAGCAGCAAGCAGCAACCGAGGCAAGTCTCTAGTCTGACGATTCCGAGCATAATTCTTCACCCGTGAAATATCCAGGCGGCGCCAAGTAAAATTGGAGTACCAGAGCCGAGCACCGACCGGGGCTACAAACAATCAAAATGCTGCTTCGACAACTTAAAGCTGCCTGGACCACAAAACGGGATTGTGAGCTGCGCGGCAAAACAAACAAGCCGAGCGGAGAGATGCGGGAGGGAGGAGCAATGCAAGTGATACACGGGAGGCAAATAAATGGGATATACAAATGGCGAGCGAGCGAGCCGACGTAAGAAAAGAAGCGTGAGGTAAGCCGAGAGAGAGAGAGAGAGAGAGAGCTCTCACAGCACACCGGCCAAATAAATGAGGCTCTCTCGGAGGAGAAGATGGCCGCAACAAACAGGGCGGGGTTACGCTAAAAACTTTGATATCGAGGCAAAGGAGGATGGGCTGATTTGTTTTTAAGGGGAGGCTGGGCAGACAGAGAAGGCCACCGGGGTCCCACGATTTGAGGAAAATGGAAGACAAGTTCGGCACGGTTTGGCAGACACAAAGTAAAAAGTCCGGGTCAGGACGGGAGCAGCAAACCAAAGTTTAATCTTTTTATTGGTGAAGCGGCGGCAGCACTTGGTATGCACCACCCAACACTCCTCTACGCTTACGCGACGACGAACTACATGGCATTCGCCCGAGACACACAGGTGTGCTCTTCTTTTCGGTGGAGTTTAGCTTTCACTTGCTTTTTCCTGTTCCAGTTTTGCAAGCGAGAAGAAGGACCGCGATGATTTGGACAAGGACAAGCAAGAGCAGGCTTAAAAAACTCCCTCGGCCCGCTCGCTTGCTTGCTAGCTAGCACAGCATTCCTCTTTCGCCATCGACACGAAAACTGGGGCAGAGCAAAAGGAAAAAAAGGTAAAGGTTTTTTAAAGGTGGATCGGGCTGGGGGGATGCTTTTATATTTCGGGTCTCTGGAGCAGCACTCCCAACTGACAGGCATGGCCTTGAAGAGCGTACGAAAGAAGCAATTTTTTGGCGGGGATGATTGGGATAGTTGGACACAAAGGTTGCTCTTCACGGTGCTTTGCTTTGAATGGGAGCGAAGCTCGAGACAAATGGGAAGACAGGGACACGAGCGGCGCAGGCAGTGTGACCACTGACCACCACCAGCGCCACACGCACAGACTGGAAGCGAGCGATCGATCAGACAAGGACGAGGGGACTTTGAAAGTAAACTTTGTGGAGCCTTGTCCTCGCTTGATCAGTGCCGCTGCTGCTTGTATGAAGAACAACGGGGTCCAGATCGCGAGGAACGAAGCAAAGTCAGTGTGCTGTGCTTGACAGATCGATTCGACCGGCTGAAAATCGGGCCGGGAAGAGGAGTCAATCAGCTCGATCCAAGCGATCGAAAGAGATATGAAGCGAAGCTGTCTCCGCAACAACACACACAGCGCATTGATCATCCACTCTTGAAGTGCTTCGCAAGGTTTCTTTTTTTTCCCAGATCGATCGAGCGTGGATCTTTACTGTCAGTGAACTCACCACGCGAAAAAATCCCAGAAAATGGGGTGTCGTTGACTTTTGTCCGGTCAAGTCAATGGTCGCCCCCTCCACGTGGCCAGACGATTTTTAAGTTTCTGTCGCGACATAGCCGACAAGGGGCCAGCGGCTGTCGGGTCGGCCGGGGACACCGGGAGAATTCCGTACAGTTGATCATGCGGCGCGAAGAATTGACGAACAACCAACGAAAGACCTCAAAGTTTTATAATCAAAGAGGAAATATCCTTTCGATCGATTGGTTGATCTTAGGAAAAAAAAAGAGAGAGAACATTGAGAGAAAGAATCTAGGCACACCATTATTGATTTCTTGTTATTGTTCCTCTTGGTGGTTTTCTCTCTGCAGCTGTTGGGAAAGAAAGCAAGAGAGAAAAAAAAAAAAAAAGTGAGAGAGATCGCCTGACTCACAGAGCTTGTCAATTGGACCAAAAAATCGATGATTTCTCCACAGAGAATCTCGCTCGTACGCTGTGGTACGCAGAGGTGTGTGAGCGAGCCCCTGTTTGGTGACTGAAAGGATTGACAGTGCCTGACGAACGCTCGTCCTCACGTACTGTATCGGATTTTTGATAGGATGGACAGTGCATCCCAAAATCTATCAATCCATCCTATCAAGTGCTTTCTCATCGATTCCTGGCAGTCGATCCAGACACCGAGAAGCTCCAGCTCTCGGTCTTCCTGGTTTGCCTTCGCTTCTTTTTTCTCTTCCAGAAACTACTCGAACGAATCTTTCAGGTCGAAGATGGATCTCGCCTTCCTTCCCAGCCCAGACAGCCAGTCCATAAACTAAGCGTTTCTTTCTCTCCAGAGCCGCACCGACAAAGCCCACCCGGTACCCATGAAGATTCTACGTGCATGCACACGGGGCATACTTCCATTCCTGACACAAATCTCCTGTTTTGCTTCACAAGCTTTTTCCCCCCCTGTTACTTTTTCTAGACTGCTCCACCATTTTCCAAGCCCCCGAAGATCTGCCTGGAACAAAAAATCCAGGCTGCACTAATGTCCAAGCTCAATATCCCACCAGCGAATTCTCGATACTTTCACCTGTTTAAGAGCGGGAACCTTTTTCTCAACCCCACCAGATCCGTCAAAAGCGATGCCAACTTCCGCCACTTCTACCAATGGGTAGCATGATGTCCTGCGTGCGCGCGCTTTTAACAGTAGAGTTCCACCTAAAGCCACGTTTCCTGCTACTGGTGACTCAAAGTTTCCCCCGACAGATCTGTAGTCTTTGTTGGCCACTCATATGTCAAGCATTCGGCTTTTTCCGCGTCCCGGAGTAATTTCTTTTTGACTTTTTCTCTCGAACTATGTGTTTCCAGTTTGTTCAAAACAGCAAGGCGTCCTGTACCAAAGCTCCAGTCAGCAAGAGCCAGCCCAGGAAAGTAGAACAACTGACTTACGCAAACGAGCGGCGCGTCGGCTCCATCGATCATTCTCCTCGCTTGGCAGCCCAGGCTATGTAATTGACGCTCAAATCATCGGCTAAACGCCAGGTTTGCTTCAGCGGGTCGTAGAACATGCCTGTCATCTCCTCGAGCTGCAAGTTTGGTAGTGTCAGGAGCGTACAAGTTGGAAAACGAGATTAACCAGAGCTCGTACAGTTAGCGACGCACGTTCCATAAGTAACGCAACCTCCTCTGGGGTCAGAAACTTAGACCAATCATGGGTCCCTTTCGGGAGCTGCAGAGGTTACGCAATAGGAGCAGAAAACGTAAGTTGTAACAGCTTTTCTACAGAAAAATCATAAAACAATACCCAGCCCAGTATGTATTCCGCTGCGAAAATTGCAAGGCTATATGATGTAGGTGATCGATTGAGCGTGGAAATAACTACGGCACCATCCTGCTTGGTCAGCAACGACAGGGACTGGAGGAAGTCCATTGGATCAGGGACATGCTCTATGACCTGCATAAATGCCGTAACATGAGATTTAAATTCCAAATGATCAGGACAACGTGATCCAGAAGATAAATAATTCAAGACACATCGTTTTGCGTACCTCAAGAGCGGCGACAATATCAAATTGCTGCTTCTCCTGTACGAGCTGCTCTGCAAGTTTCAGAAAATCAATTATCAAACAGGATGGACTCATGCTGCAATGAAGAACCTGCTGTGGTATGCTGGTACAAAATCGTAGCAGTCAAAGGATCCTTTGCCTAAGAAAGAGAAAAAATAAAACACAGCTAATCAAATCCGTATGGAATCAACTCACGGCGTGTAGCTTTGCAACTTCGATGTTCTCTTCCACGGCGTCGATTCCAGTCACGTGAGCACCCATTCGTGCTAAAGGCTAGAAAACTCCCAGTCAGTATAAGCAACGATGTTTTCCTGTTATACTAAAGACTTACTTCGCACAGAAGCCCGCCACCACATCCTACATCTAAGATCGTCAAGCCATCCAAAGGCCTCGGAGAAATGGGATCCTTCCTGATTAAAAACATTTAGAAGAATGGAAGAAAGAAGAACAAACTCGAAAGGAATATAAAAAAAAGAACTTCGGGAAGAGAAAATCAATAGAAGAGAAAAAGAACTTCAAGAACAGAGAAAACCTCTTAGAAGAATCGAAGAAAGAAAGAAAAACAAACTCGAAAGGAATGAGAAAAAAAGAACATCGAGAACAGAGAAGAGAGAAAGAACTTCAAGAATAGAGAAGAACGAAGAAACGTACTTAAAATGCCGGCACATCCCCGAGCGAAGGAACAAGAGCCTCACGGGATTCATGGCGTGCAAAGGTTTAAACGGTCCAAGCTCGTCCCACCTAGAGGAAAGAACGATCGTCAAAAAGAAAGAGAAAAATCTCTAGACCTTCTAAGCGAAGAACTCACCATGTTCCAGAAAGAGCAGCGAATTTGGCGGATTCTTGCGCATCAACAGAGCTCTTCGTGCTAGAACTCCCACGATCGCCACGATATTTCCCAGCCGTAGGGCCGTGATCGCGAGCGTCTGGATTGCTGCGAAGACTTACCTGCGTCGAGAAGTGTCTAAGTCTCGAGAGCCTCCTCACCGCTAGCGCCATAGACATATGAACCCTAAAATCTATAATCTCGCTAGAACCCTAGCAATGTAGCTTCTCGGATCGACCGATAGCGAAGGTACGCATTTCCAGCAAAATCGTGGCGATCGCGCGCGATTTACCATGGAAGACGACAGCGATGAGGAAGCCGTATACGATTTCCAGGCACAGGACGACGATGACAGGATATTTCAGTCGGATCATCACCAGGAGCTCGAGTTTGAGGATCCGGCTGCTCCAAGCAAGCCACTGGACGCTGCTGATTTTTACAGCTCCACATCCAAGTACTTCGCATTCAATCGCGCTGGCCATCACCTCATGGCGCAGTCGATCCTCACTTCCAGAGCTCCTTCCTTTGAAGAAATCTGTGCTGCCGATCCCGATATCTCGCTGCGAGTCCTCAAGAACAGCCTTGGAAAGCAAAGCCAGGAGTCCGCAGTGCGATCGCGGTGGAAGGATATCCAGGAAAGGCTGGTAGCGGTGGTGGCAGTGGATGGAGAGGAGCATCTCTATCACAAAGACAACACTTCGCTTAGAATCCCATACCGCGAGCAGTGGGGGGAGATCTTCCAGCGAGCTCACGTAGAAGAAGAAGATGGTCAGCACTTGGGATGGAAGCAAACTTTCAAGAGGATCCAGCAGCAGTGGTGCACAAACACTCGGCGGTATGGGATCCTCGACGCTTTCATCCAGGAGAGCGTCTACGCTTGCCCCGGCTGTGACTTCTCGCGGGTTCCAGAGCGGAAGAAGAAGGAGGAGCACAAGTTCTCGCAGAGGATGACGGTGGCGACCAGGGATCTCCCGCGAGCCATGGAGGAGATTGCTGTCAAGTACAAAGTTCTCCTCCGGATCGATCGAGCTGACAAGGTGTCGAGGAACTCCGAGGTGAAGGACTACGTTTGTCACCGTGGTCGTTCCAAGCGTGGTCGTGGCAACAAAGTTTTGGGAGGAGGTGGTGAAACGAAGGATGCGAAGGTCCGGGATAGGAAGTCATGCCGTATCGGGTGTCCATTTCGGATCAGGGTGGTGATACCAATCCAGGCTGGCGAGGGGACTACAGTTGTGAGAGACGAAGCACTCGCTCACATCTTGCTCTCTCCGTTTCATGACGGCCATCGTCCGGGGACGAAAGAGAACTTGCTCTCTTTGCCGCCACATCCGTCGGCTATAAGGTACTGTGAGCATGATCTCTACGACAATGCGGGGAACGTGCAGGCTTTGGTGAAAGCTTCCGCGAGCAGAGCTCCGTTCCTCTACTTCCAGGCCAGTGAGGGCGAGCAGGCCAGTTACCGGTTTTTTCTTCTTTCCAAGGACGTTGAGCAGCTCGCGTACAGGATCAAGTCAAGAGGTGAGAGCTTTCCAGCCTGCTTTTCTTCTCTTACGAAGGTGTGTTACTGTGGTTTAGTCGAATCCATTGGTGAGGACGATTGGTCTGCGTTACATATGGAAGCACAGCGGCTTCAAACGCAAGGAAAGGTGACTCTCAACTGTTTTGAGGAGAACTTGGTTGAGAAACTTTCTTCTTTCAGGTGATCTTTTACCAGCCTTATGCGCCCAACCATCCGGACGAGGACAAGCGACCATTTTTGCTTGTGCTCCAGGATCCTTGGATGAGGGACTGTGCCAAGAGATTCTCGGTGGGAAGCTCGTGGGTGGTAAGTCGGCTTCTCAGAGGCAACCAGTTTGGTCTGTCTCTCTACGCGGGGATAGTTCCAAACCAGGCAGGAGACGAGCTTCCCATATGGATGATGCTGTGTTCCTCGGACACCGACGAGAGTGTAGCACTGAAGATCACACTCCAAGAAGCTTTCAAGTGGCTGGGACATGTCAGGCCGTCCGCGATAGTCATCGAAAAGTCAGTGGCCGAGTTTCGAGCGGTGCAAGCAGCGGCGAGCAAGGATCCATTTTGCTGGAGAAACAACACTCTAGGGGGTGAACAGGTCGCGAGCCACGTACTTCTGTGCTGGTCTCAAGTCCGACGCGAGTGGATGGAAAGTCTAATGCCCGAAGCTCTTCCCACGCAGCGAAGAGAAGTGTACCAGGCGCTCAACCAGATGATGCTGGCAACCACGGAGCACAGTTTGGACTTCCTGCTCCATTCGTTCAACGAGAAGTTCAAAGACCACCTAACGCTGTGCGAGCACGTAAATCTCAAGTGGGCGGGACAAAACTGCGTGTGGAGAAGAATGTGGCCAAAGTTTGGAAGGATGTTCGAGCACGGGGAGATCGAGACGACGAACTTCGCCGAGAGAGTCTGGAGCTACATAAAGTACACTCTCCTGAGGGGCCGGAGCAAGTGCAATATCCTGGGACTACTAGCTGCGCTGGTTGGATCATCCAGTGGTCGCCATGGCGAAGTTCTAGTGGAACACTACAAGCAAAAGCAAACAGCACGTAAGTTCTAGTCATTCCAGAACTTCTCTTTTGCATTTCTCTTGAGTGATGTTTTTGTTTTTTCTTGACAGTCGACTCGGGAAAGCTTTGCTCTCAAGTCGGCACGAAGCCTCAAAAGAAACTCATCGGCGGCGACTACATACTGGAGCTCTACGAATCGGACGTGAGCATGGTGGAAGTGGACGACGAAGTCTCTCTCCAGTTCCGGATGCGCAGCGAGATCATCCCGGACACGATCCACTCGCTGGCGATGCAAAGCTCCTCGTGCGACTGCTACGAGCTAGCCCCGGTCTGCAAGCACGTCCAAGGCATGAGGCTCATCATCGAGAAGTACTTCCCGCATCTGTGCGCGCTCGCGCCGCCGCTCGACAGCCCGGACGTGTTCTCTCTCCAGCACACAAGCGACGACACTCCTCTCGATCTCCACCACTTTGTTGCGGCGGAGGATTCTATGGAGCTATGTGGAAATGATGGTAGCAACAGCAACAGTAACAACAACAACAACACCACCAGCGGCAGCGGTGGCAACCGCGAGCTCTCGGCACTGTGCAGTGAAGTTAAAACCGAGCTTCGCAGGCTCCTGGCTATCGCGTCGGGCTTCAATGCCACCGAGAGAGCGCTGGTGCTATACAATGTGAGAGCTCTCAAACAAAAGCTACAAGCATTCGACAGCCTGGATAGACCACCACCACCCAAAACGTTTCATTGATTCAGAACCCTTTGGGAGTTGTGTTGCTAGCCATCTCGAAGCCACTTGTACAATTACGGAAACATATGGTATGGCAGTATGCTTTATCGAACGAATAAATTATTACATAATTCTATTCTATTTAAGAACAAGTGTACTCTTTAACTATGTGAATAAATTATGTTCTTTACATTTTGTGTTTTCTTACTAATACAATCTAGTCTTCAAGCCTCAATTATATGGGGAAATACTAATAATTTAAATGAACAAGATATTAACAATATAATGAATCAAGGGTTTTATGAGCTTACTACAAGGTTAATTGGCAATGAATTATATCCACCTGATTTTGTAGATTTTAAATTAGTAACTGTTTCTAGAGGTGCAGTTTGTGTGGCAATAAGGCGAATAAAAGGATCTGCTGGTAGATGTTCAAATTCAAATGATGAAGTGAAAGGGTCAAATATGAAACGTCAAATAAATCTTCTAATTGAAAATTACCATGAAAGGATGGTTATGGAAGGTGCAGATGCAGTACGAATAACTGGATCTCTATATGAAATACAATATGCTGTAGTGGTATGGAATAAGAAATCCGAATTGTTATTTAAAAAGAGATTTATAAATGGTATTCTTTCAAGTGGAAATTGCCAAACATCATTGAGTACACTTGATAGTGGATTCCCAATTTATCAAGTACTTTACACGGACCATTTTTTAATATCACCAAATAAAAAAAACATTTTACTTTTGCAGTATAATTGTAATTTGGTTCTTTATTCAGGACTAAAAAAAATATGGGAAACATTAGTATTTAAACTTGATGGTTTCTGTAAATTAATACTTCAGAAAGATGGTAACTTAGTAATTTATACAAGAAAATGGGAAGTTTTATGGTCTATAGGAAAATATTGTAAAAATCCTAAATGTTTTATTTTTACATATATAACTTTACAAAATGATTGTGATTTGGTCTCATACAAATTAAAAGCACCTAATGATGTTTGGTGGGCTTTAAGTACTGCAAATGATATTTTATGTACATGATTTGTAATACTGAATAAAATTTATTAATTGTAATAAAATGATTATTATATAATTAATAATTAATAATTAAAATAGTAGTTAATATTTGATAAAATATTAAAATATATAATATAATATATCATAATTTATAGATTAGACTTTACAAATAAATACTAATAACAAGATTAAACACATCAGCCTTACTGTCTTTTATTAAATCTTATACCCAGGTAATCTGAGGCATTAGTCATAAAATTAACCACATCTATGTTTACTATTTGGCTTTTTGATCCTTAACTTTTTTTGAAAGGTAATTCTTTAGGATATTCTTGAATAAACTTTGAAATTCTTTTGTAGTCAGGACAAAGACAATCACCCAGAGGATCTTCTGGAATAATCTTGGAATCAGAATCATCTGGACCCTTGTTCTTAGGTTTAGGGCTAATGTAAGAATATCTTAAATCTAAATTTGTTTATGAAATTCTAGCCACTAATCCTTAATTAGAGCTTTCTAGAGTCATACAATCTTTCACTCTTTATAGTTGGTTAGCTTATCACACTTAGGCAGCCACTATGAATAGATGATTAGAGAAAGCACTCAATCACATCTTAAATGAAGTTAAATTGAGTTGTGTTGCTACTACTTGTTACAATTAATTAAGTTCTTATTACACTAAAAATACAACTTTTGCATCATTTACTAACATACATGCCACCATAAAACTATAAATTGCTATAAAATGACTAAATGACTGAGTAATGCAAGCACCACAAAAAGGATTTTGATCATTTAATAATATTTTAATATCAAACTCAATTATGTTTTTTATTTTTTATTCTTGATAATAAATCTATTCTTCAAGAATTTGGTAATGAAATTAAAAAAATAATATATTAAATAAATAATGATTGAAAGGTTTTATGGCTATACTAAGAAATTAGAGGATAATGAATCACATCCATCAGATTATATAGATTTTTTGGTACCTATCTCTATAGGTGTAGTGTGTAGTAAATAAAGAGTCGGTCATTTTAAATAGTAAAGTAAAAGAGTCAAATTTAATTTGATATAAAATAAATTTTTTAATTAAAAATCGCTATGAAATGATATAGGTGCAATATAAAAAACTCGATATCAGTTTAATATAGAATATTTTGTATTATTTTAAATAAATAAATAAAACTTATTATTCAGAAAATTATTAATTAATAATATTTTTCTGGTAAACACTGTCAGTGTTAAATATTATTTACTGGAGTTCTAATTTATCAAGTACACCATAAATAATTTATAATATTACTAAATTAAAAAAATTTAATATAGTTTTATAATATCTGTAAATACATATATGTATATAAGAAATGAATTAATTATAATAGTATAGCACATGAAATGTCCATTTAGTATTGAATTTAGCTAGATATGGTTTTCAAATTCTAATTAATATCCCTATTTTTATATCCAAGCAGTCACATTAGTGAAAGTGAGATATATTGCAATTTGTCCATATAGATAAAGCTTTTTAGTAGTGTTCAGGATTATACTTTTGATTTTGCTTTATTATTTTTCTTTTCTTCTCTAGAGCTATTATAGCTTTTCACTAGATCTAGGATATTTATCTATTTATTTTTCCTTTGATCTTCATTGCATTCTCTTCTTCCATTATGCCATGCCATTATCAATTAAGGAGTTTGTCATCCAAGGCTGTAGATGATGTATCATTATAAAAAAAATACAAAAGTTGAGTTAAAAATGCATTATGTGGCACTAACCAAAATAAAAGTCTATTAAGTGTAACACGTTTAGACCAAAAGCTCCAACTTGAAAAGTTGAAAGCGAGAGTAAAACTCCTAAAGAAGTACTTGATAAATGAATATGAAGTGATCAAGGAATGGCCATAAAATAATTTATAAACAGCTTTTTAGAAAGGGACAAAAGAATCACTAACATATGATAAATGTTGGGACATATAGAATTCTCGAGACAAAAATCCTAAAACCTAAGGACTTGAAATAGAACAATTTTACAACCACCTCACCTTACTAGTTGAATATATTTAGGGCTAGACATATCTAGGGATGGGGTGAAAGCCCAAAGCTCATCTTCCAAACCATGGTGGATTTAGTAAATCTTTGCGGAATAGTCAAAGAAGGAAGACCAAGGAAGATTATACCCATATGGTGGGTAATGATATTAATATTGAGGAGTTCAAAACTATAGTGAATATAAATGGATAAATGAGGTGATTTAATAAAGTGTTCAAGAGCCAGCTCTAGCTCTTTTGAAAAATTGAATAGTTGATACTCTCAATCCAAGTGTAGGTGGTATTATCTATTTAGATTTTTTGTATGCCTCATTAAAACTTTACTCTACCCATGTCCAGAAGCTAGGGAGAGTACCCACAAAGCTCACATTGATTACAATGTTTTGAAATGTCATTCCAAAGTTCTTGATTGTGGAAAGGCAAATGTGTACTCTTCCTTTTTAGTAACAAAGTATGCTTATATGGTGAGGAAGTCTTAAAGGTTAATGGAATTTAGTGGACAAACTTTTGGGCCTTAACTCAAAAGTAGTGTTGCAAGTACTATTGTGATCAAAGAATCACTTGGTGGGGATTGAAAAAGAGATATTGGGGGATTGTAAAACATTTGATTGTGAATATTGAAAATTATTTATTAATGAGTCTTTATTACCACAATGACAAAAGATTGATATTGTTGGACCCTTTATCAATCATTTTTGAGCTAGTAGAGTTAATAGGGCATTTGAGTGTACGTAGACTAGATAAGCATAAAGATGGAATTTTTAAATGTTATTAGCTAAATATATTTAGCTTGGTAAGAAGTTCCTATCTCGTTGTTGTAAGCAACCAAAGGGAACGACTCGAGAGACGGTCCATAGGGGTTCAAATATAGAGGGAAAGGGCCCATGAATAAGAGTGCACCCCCTTTTCCAATCGGTTAAGGGTCTTGGGATAGTTGGAGTTAAGCGTCCTTGGGTTTGAATAGTACTGGGCTGGGTGACCTCCCAGGAAGTCCAAACTTAAGAGCTTACATTTGGTATCAGAGCGGTCTCGGGTCCGACTCTGTTGGTTGGCTAAAGGAATCACACCACATGTTGATTGACATCTGGCTGGTCCAGTTTGTTCCCACTGGGCTCGACCCGAGGGGTAGGGTGTCAAGAGAGCGAGGCTCTCGGGAGAGTTGCGGCTCTCAGCTTCTGTTCACGAGGGCGTGAACTTGCAGGGAAGCATGGTGGATTGTAAGCAACCAAAGGGAACGACTCGAGAGACGATCCGTTAGGGTTCAAATATAAAGGAAAAGGGCCCATGAACAAGAGTGCACCCCCTTTTCCAATCGGTTAAGGGTCTTGGGATAGTTGGAGTTAAGCGTCCTTGGGTTTGAATAGTACTGGGCTGGGTGACCTCTCGGGAAGTCCAAATTCAGGGAGCTTACAGTTGTGTCTTACATTGGCTAGTGACAAAAACCTTTGTGTATTGAGCACTAGTTCCTCAATATCATAACTTACCATGTTCACCAAACACCTTCACTATCATGCCTTTGTAAGCAACCAAAAAGAAGACTTAAGAGACAATCCATAGGGGTTCAAATATAGAGGGAAAAGGCTCATGAACAAGAGTGCACCCCTTTTTTCAATTAGTTAAAGGTCTTGGGATATTTGGGGTTAAGTGTCCTTGGGTTTAAATAGTACTGGGCTGAGTGACCTCCCGAGAAGTCCAAACAAAAGAGCTTACAACCCCTCACTATTACAGGGGGTGTAAGGAGTTTCAAATGTATAGTAGTGATAATGGGTAGGTTATATAAACGATTAATTTTTCCATTCTACTTTAGTCACTTAACCACACCCTTGACCATTTGGAGGAGTCTCATTCACAACCTCCTGAAGTCCAATTCAGGACTTGGGACTTGCTAGCCCCGAGGATGGCATCTATGCCACTCATCATTTGCACTTGGTCCAAGTGCTCCACGTGTTCGATCCCATGACCGACACTCAAAGGTACCACCGACATGGCAGCTTGTCATGCTAAGGCCATACCCAATCACCTTTGCTACACTGGTAGTCCAATACCACATGCATCCCAGTCTTGGCTCTCCAAGA